CTTTCTTTCGGTAAATACTCTTTATATATACCTTATTTTAAAGGTTTTGGATTAAACGTCGAGTAGATGCGCAAATTATGAATTGATCAGTGAAGATAGTAAAAACAAGCAATTTACAGATGCGCCAATTATGAATTGATCAGTGAAGATAGTAAAAACAAGCAATTTGAGTACCATAGAGTTGACATTGCGTAGGATTCACTGCCGCCTGATGCCCAAACTACAGGTGGACAGAATTACCATAGAGGTTGAGAACCCTCCATGCCACGACTTTAGTGCGCTCTGACAGTTTGTACTGCTTCAGACTTATTAATAGTGATGACTACACTACACGGCTAGGCCGAAGGGCATCTTAATACGAAATTCGTTTCCTCTGTCCTCGTCTATGCACCAAGGGTCCATTCCAGACAGTTTTCTGATTGGCGCTGAGATTGGCATTGACTTTGGCTGACATAACCTAGGACCTCCATCGAATGCGCACTATATGCATACACGAAAACAGTTTGGTACTCACACATGTGATGGGCCAATGCGACAGTCGTTTTAGTGCAAGGCAGCAGAGGACATCACTACGGGAAACCAGTAGGCCCCGCTTTATCCTGTCCGAATGATTTTGTTCAAGAGGTTTTGAACTCGAAGTAAAGGCTCTGCAATTAAATACTTAAAGCTATGACTGTTCGCATCGAGGGAAAGTCTGTGCGTACAGCGGGTAGACATTGTAGTCGAATCTTTGATGCGCTAAATACCAGCATACACGTTTTTTATGAAAATCCTTTTCTTAACTGTTAAATTCTCAAATGGCTTGAAAAGAACAAACATACCTAGACGTATCTCTGTCATTGTCGATAGAAGCCAAGCAGGACCGAAGGCCATCCAATGAGACTGCTCGAAGCGTGGACGGTGCGGTGTCCGGCGGAACATGACCATGCGGACACAAGGTCAGAGAATGCGAGCGGGTCTGGCCCGATTCTGTAGGCGACATTACGAAGACAGGTTGATGATCCGGCAGGAGCAATTGCGGGGGACACTTCTCGGGCTCCCTCAGCCAGTCACTCAACCACTGAGTGGGCACAAGGCAGACATCAGTCAGGCTAACTTGGCCTTCCAAGGAAGAGGAGGAGGCGGCGTTAGATGACACGGGACAAGGAGAGGCAGTGGTGGTAGTGATCTGTTCATCTCGCCGTCGGCGCTTCTCTGCCGGGATGGCGATTTCAGCCACCGGAGACGGCTTAAGCGACAGTCGGGAGAGTATCTCGGCCCGCAAAGTACTGCGCTCAAACAGCAACTTCTTATACGCCACCTAGTCGTGTACAAAGGCATTATGGTCGATATTATTATCATTATGGAAATAACGATCGTAAGTAACAGCAATGGTAAATAAACTCAAAAAGGGGACAGAATTAAAGAAGCAGCGATAGACCATGCATAGAGGCTAGAAGACTCCTCCATTAGAACCATCTCATAACAGTAAAAACTAAAACTAGTCAAGTCATCGATTGATTACGTCCGATAGTGCACACGCCACGGCCACAGATCGGAGAGCTGTGTAGAAGAGAAACCTAGCAAAACTATAAAATCCTGAGATAAGTCTAGTGAACCGAAAATCTTCGCAATTCAACTCATTCAGATGTTATTGCTCTGGATGTGACGTGTGTATCTAAAGGTGTGTGAGATTCGGAATTATGCGCAGCTGTGCTAACGTTGGGTAGAAAAAGCAAAATATATTTAATGAGCAAAGCAGATATACCCCCGTAAAATATGAGTGGGCGATGCTGCCCATATACAAGTGCCCCGATGCAGGCATCTAGAGGGCTTAACCAAATAGTCGTTTTTGGACGCCTCAAACGGAAAAGAGGAGCAAACCAAATTACTGCTACCAAATTCAGGAAAAAAAACCGGTCGCACTAGCAACTTTAATGACCCAGGCAGAAATACCACACTGAGTTCAAAGGCATCTACTTACATTGTCCTTAATAAGCCTGACCTGACCTGATCCTTTTGCTGAACACGACCAGGTTGCTGTGGCACGGAATAAATTGAGAGAAGTAGAGGCGGAACTCAGTAAGGGTCTGTTTTAACTAAAGAAGTTAAAATCCGCAACAGACAGTTAGTACAGATCAGTACAGCCTTCTTGGACGACATCTAAATGCGATAACACCTCGAAATGGTTAGATCGACCACTGCTTATAAGTCAAGTAGAATTTACAATGACAGAAACGCCGAGCTGCATTGACAATATCGCCTTGTTAGCTTCAAGCTTTAGTGGTCTAAGTTTGTGATGACGTGGTTGAGAAAGGTCGTTAAATCGCTCGGTTTATCGATGCACGTTGTGGAAACCAACAGTTTTCTTCAGATTTTACCCCTAACCAAGAGAAGGCACTCCTCAAGATTTGTGGATATCATTCTGAAAAAGTAGCCAGTTTCATATACCTTAGAACGAGGCAGCTGCCGAATGAACAGAGGAAGGACGACATCCATATTACCCACAAGGTTTTTAAGATTTGCAGAAAGTGTTCATGGACCCCATGCAACGTCTCCAGCGTTACGAAGATTCGCGTGTATCAGATAGCCGTCCGGGCAGTCCTCCTGCTCAGGTGTAAATACTGGACTGTGTGCGTGGGGGATGGGTGAAATCTGGGTGCATTTGAGAACTGCTGCTTGCGAACTTTCCTTCCAGTGCAGTACACAGGCTTCGGCTCGCAAGGGACAATACGCACTCGCGTCGAAGATGCCCAAGGTCATCCAATAACAACTAATGAGGTAATATAGGCACGCTCTTTAGCGTCCGGTTGGCTCTGTGGGCAATGCGGATTTGAATTGGCGAGAGTGACCTAGCAACGGTTGCGAGGACGCCTTTCACATAAGCAATGTTCCGTCAGAATCTGAGTTATTCGGTCCTTTAATTCCGGATCCATCGGTTATTCTGCCTCTCTCCACGAAAACTCGCGGCTATCGTAGGTAGGAGTGCAGAGACACAAAAAATAAATGGCGTCCGGACCAGAGGCTCCTTGAGTGCTCATTTTGAATTTTCGTCCTACATATGTTGCCTCTCAGCTACAGGGCAAAAAAAAGATTAGAATACACGCTGAAATTCGAGGGGCTGGAAGGCCAAGTATGTGATTACTTCTAGGAACAATTTATTTAGCTGTGGACAATCGAGTTTTCGTAGACGCCTGTGGAAGTCCAAAAAGCAGACTTGTAGAACAAACAGCGAATTGGGCGGAGATGAAATGTTTCTTTTCTTCCT